CGGGCGCCACATTGCGGGGCTGACACGACTCGCACCAGGGTGCCAACCGTTTACAAGCAGTCACCAAAACGACGAATGAGAGAGACTGTCACAATGGACTGCATGACGATGATCATTGGGACGGAGTACAGACCAAAGCGTAGTTCTCTGGAGCCTGCAACGACTTCTCTCCTTCATCTCCCACTCCGTACACCAAGCGGTCCTCATCTTGCTACTCCCCGGCTTCCACCAGAAACTTCGCATCAATCCATGGACGATATCTGCTTGCGAATAGCCTGCACCCACTAAGTCTTGCATTCACAGATACCCGAATCTCAGTACGCATAATTTGTCCGTCAACTATCATGTCACCACATGTAGATCTCTCTTACCACAAACGCGTGTGGTGGAAGGAAGCAACATTCTATCAAATCTACCCGGCATCTTTCAAGGATAGTGATGGCGATGGATGGGGGGATATCCCGGGTATACTTGAGAAGATCAGCTACATCGCGTCCCTTGGTGTGGATGTGGTTTGGCTATCGCCCATGTTCGACTCACCGCAGATTGATATGGTAAGAACACGACGTATGAGATATATAGACCGTCACTGATCTCGCGCCTCAATATGTCAGGGCTACGATGTCTCCGACTATGAAGGTGTATATGCACCGTACGGCACCGTCAAGGATGTGGAGAAACTCATTAAAGCCTGCCACGATAACGACATGAAGATCATCCTCGACCTAGTTGTAAACCATACAAGCGATCAGCACGCTTGGTTCAAGGAAAGCCGGAGTTCCAGAGATAATCCGAAACGAGACTGGTATTTCTGGCAACCAGCACGTTACGACGAGCAGGGCAACCGTATGCCGCCCACTAACTACCGCTCATATTTCGCTGGTGGAACTTGGACGTGGGATGAGCACACGGAAGAGTACTACCTTCATCTCTACGACAAATCCCAACCAGACCTAAACTGGGAGAACGAAGACTGCCGACAAGCGATCTACGACTCAGCCATGCGCTTCTGGCTCAACAAAGGCATCGATGGCTTCCGCGTAGACACCGTAAACAAGTATTCCAAAGTCCTCCCTTTCGCAGACGCGCCCATCACCGACCCAACCAGCTCCATCCAACCTGCCGCCCAGATGTGGTGCAACGGGCCCCGGATCCACGAGTTCATCAAAGAGATGAACCGTACCGTCCTCTCCCACTACCGCACCTACGACGACCAATCCGTCGTAACAGTCGGCGAACTCTCCTTATGTCCAGACCCCTCCTCTGTCCTCCCCTACATCAGCGCCGCACAAAAGGAACTAGACATGGTTTTCCAATTCGACATCACGCACCTCGGCCAAGGCCCACCAGGCTCTGACAACAAGTACGATTACGCTAATTGGACATTACCAGACATGAAGCGCATAGTAGAGAAATGGCAATGTTTCATCGAAGGCACAGACGCATGGACAACCGTTTTCAACGAAAACCACGACAACGGCCGCAGCATCTCCCGCTTCGCCAACGACGCACCCGAATGGCGAGTTGCCAGCGGCAAACTACTCGCTTTGTGGCTGATTGGTCAATCGGGCAGTTTGTTCCTCTACCAAGGCCAGGAAATCGGTATGATCAACGCGCCGCCATCCTGGGACATAGAAGGCGAATACAAAGACGTCGAAAGCCAGAACTACTGGGCCGAAGCCGTGAGGCTAGCGGAGGACGGGACGGATCCTACGCGTAAGGAACGGATTAAGAGGGGCTTACAGCGCATGGCTAGGGACCATGCGCGGTTGCCGTTCCAATGGGATGATAGTACCAACAGTGGGTTTTCGACGGGAAAGCCGTGGATGAGAGTGCATGATGAGTATGGTAGTATCAATGCGGCGGCGCAGGAGAAGGATGGGGGGAGTGTGCTTTCGTTTTATAAGCACGTTCTGAAGCTCAGGAAGGGGCATAAGGATGTTCTCGTGTATGGGTCGTTTGAGCTGGTAGATCTGGGGGGGAAGGATCTGTTTATCTATCGGAAGAGGTGTGAGGGGAAGACGGCGCTTGTGGTGTTGAATTTTACGACCGAGGAACGGGGAATGGAGTGCGATGTTGAGGGGTTGAACTTGCTTGTGAGTTCGTATGGGAAGGCAACGGGATCAATGCTGCAACCGCTGGAAGGAAGGATTTACATCAACTATTGAGAAGGTGGAGGCGAGTGTTCTGGCGAGAAAGTGTAGACTATTGTCGATGCGCTATCAAGGGTATACTACAATGCAAAACTCGCACCACACATTCCTCTTATTGTCCCACCCATCGTCCAACGATCGGAAGGTACTTGTACAGCTCGTCGTACTCTTTGCCTACCCAGCCCACCATCTTGCCGTCTCGTCCAACAATACCCAAGCCGCCCGCTAGCCATAGTGCTGTCAGAGCCGCGCTAATGCCGTTGATAGTGTACCACCTCCTCTTCCGGATCAATGCCCTGTTCTCTTCCGTGTGCTTGACCTGACTTGGTGCAAAACCCAACCATTTTGCTGCACCCCAGACGAAATGCCACACGCCAACTCCCACCAGTGCTGTGAAACCGGTGAAGGAAACTGCAGGATGTAGTGCAAAGCCATGGGAGATATATTGCAGATTAATCAGCGACGAGTCGCCATGCGCATACAACGGAAGGATCCTCGTAGTCCAGATATGGAAACTAGCAAAAGGCACCAACGCATAACCCAAGGCACTCGTTCCACTCAGTGCTGGCCAAGGAATCGTGCGCTTATCCGTTCGTGTCTCTGCACCGTATCGTTTCAGCGCCTGTCTCCTTCTCCACAGCCGTAGTGCGATTCCAGATGTAACGTGTGCGACGAGGGGGAGGCCAACGAGGAGGGGTTCCGTGAGCGCGGATTGGTAGTATGGTCGTGTGAGCAGGAGGTAGCGGTTTGATTCGAGGACGGAGCGGGTGGCGAGCGGTATTATGGACACGTTTGTTATGTGGAGGGCGGCGAAGGCGGTGAAGGTGTAGGAGGAGTACTTTTGTATGCGGAGGACTGGGGAGTGGTGGTCAGCATTGTAGCTCTGTATTTGACGATTGAAGGAAGACATACGCCACCAAGCAGGCCCATGATCACCTAACCGCAATCCCAAAGTGTTCATCCTCCTTATCCCTCTCATCTCCTCCGTCTCTTTCTCAGGCCGTTCCTCATCCGGAACCGGGAAATATTGATTTACTTTCAACTCTTCTGGTGTGTCGACGGGCGAAGGGTCGACTTCGGTGAGGCCCATGACGCCCATCTCTTCATCCTCTACCGGTGGGAGACCCGGACTCTTCTCCATCTTGTGGGTCGTGTCGTGGTGTTGCGAGGTAAGGGAAATGCTACGTTGCTGAGACATGGAATGACGTTGATTCGGTGAAGATATAAGTGGGGCGCTGCATGCCACGCTGAGCCGAGGCGCGTGCTGTTGAGCCGCAACACCAATTGTTCTATCACCACGCGCGACTACGCGACTGCACGGCTTCACGACTTCACGATCCCGCTACCACACGATCCTACGAATCGCTTACGGAGTTACTATCACTGGTGATATACCACGTCGCTCACATCCCTAGAAGCGACACACCACACACAGTCGCGACCATGCCACCAGTACGCCCTCCCCCAGCCCTACCCTCACCCACGCATCACTAACACCCCTCCCAGCGAAACAACCCCCTCCCCGCGGCCGTCCGCCTCTTCAACTGCACAATCTGCGATAAAGGCTACCCGCGGCAACTCGACTACGAAAACCACCTCCGCTCCTACGACCACAACCACCGCCAACGTCTCGCCGACATGAAGAAACTGACTGCCTCTAACGACACCGAGAGCAACAAGCCGAAACAAGGGTTGGAGATGCGGAGTATAGATGTGGAGAACGCGAATAAGAAACCGGGGGTTGGGAGTCGGTTTACGAAGATTGGGGGTGGTGGTGGTGGTGCCGCGGCGGGGGGTAGGTTCAAGAAGGTTGGGGTTGCGGTGGGTGGGAAAGAGGGGGTGGAGGAGAAGGCTGAGGGGGTGGTGGTTAAGACGGAGGATGTGCCTGAGAAGAGTGTTGAAGTACCGGTTGCTGCTGCGATGCCTGTTGCAGAGGCCGAGGTCAAGAAGGAAGAGGATACAGTCATGGCGGACGGGGAAAGGGCAGACGAGATTACATGGGAGGAGTATGACTTCACAAAACCAACCGGATGCGATCATGCGAGTTGTCCTGGATCCAAAACGGATGGCATCTGGAGCGGTGGCTGGGTGGCTGTGGATGCTGTTTGAAAGACACGCGTTCATCGTTCTTATGTTGACATTTACGCTGTACTCATACCCAGGATATCGTCTTAGTTGGAGCTTTTCCACATTGCATAGCATCGGCGTTCGGGGAGTTAGTACTCATTCCACGCTCACGACATACCAAATATCTGTAAGTGTGTTCCAATCACCCCACAATGCCTTCCCTCAAGGCCCTCATCATTCCCTTGAGACTCGCATCACGACGGTTCTCGGGAAGGCCTAATCATTGCTTCGACTGATCAGAAGAGCAGGCTTTATCTACAATTGCTGCTTTTCTCTATCTGATGTTTCATCAGCGTTGTTCATACTGTTCACCATGGTCGAAAAAGACATGCTGTTGTTCGGAGTGAGGCAATGTTGAGGGTGACTGGAGATGTACACGGACGCGCCCGCGCACTCTTATGTGGCGTTCTTGGTGCTGATCACTTCAACGAAACACTCGGGGCGGCGGCTATCAAGGAGTCAAGTCGCGGTCCACACTCATTACAGTCAGGAGATTCGTAAGTGTATTCAATTACCCTACGATCTCCATGTTGGGAACTTTTCTCTTAGTCTCCGTCGCTTTGTATCTTCATATCCTAGTTCTGTGTTTCATCTCAACCTGCAGAAAGAGTGCAGCTCAAAAAGACAAAGGCTTCCAAAGGCAGCTTGTCAAGGTCGGACCACCATACCAATACATGGTATCGGTTGCTTGCGCGGCTGACAGTCCGGAACTCCCAAGTCTCAGTCCTCAAGCACCCAATATCCGAGTTCGTCCCACTTCTTGCCCTTGCGGAGGTCCCGAGGAAGGGGCACGAAGACTTTGATGTACTCGTTGTTGACCTTGTCGATGTGAGCGCAGGCCTCACGCTTGGCGATGCACTTGTCGCAAGCAGACTCCTTGTGCTTGCCGCCCTGAGCCCACATCGTACCCTTCGCACTTGAACTCCGGATCACTAGGTTGCGAAGGCAGACGTCCTTGTTGACTTGGTGCCCCGGCTTCTCCATAAACCTCCTGTAGGTCTTGGTCCTTGACGGTTCACACTCCCACATGGCCTTGAAACGAGCTTCCAGTTCTGCCTGGACTTGTTGTGGAAGATCGTAAATGTCTCTCAGGGTGGGATCACCGCGGCTGTTTGGAACACGAAGGTACACGTGCAAGTCGGGCGGGATGTCTTCTGCTATAGCAGTGTCGCCGACTTCTGATGCTACTGCAGCAATGACCTCGGAACGGTTCTGTTCATGCTCGCCGACAATCCCAACGTTGGATCCCGCTTGAGTTCTAAAGGCCAGCTCGCTTGGCTGAGCCCCAGTTCCTGATCAAATTGATTAGCGATTATCCAGAACTGTCCGTGTGAAACTCACCTCTCAATCTGTCTCGCTCGTGAAGAGAGGCTTGCATAGTCGCGACGGCATCCTCTTTTGACAGCAGCTCGAAGAATTGGGAGCGCTCTGGCTCTGCCAACTTGTCCATGAAGTTCAAGAGATCTTTGCCTCGTACGTTGTCGCTCATCTTGACTCTTGCGTGCGATAGCACAGTGTCGCTCGAAGTTAAGTCTTGGGGTTTTGTTGGTAACTTGAGGTAAGAGAAAGAGACAGCTCGAGGTCAGACAATGTTATTCGTGACCGTTTGGTGGTGACCAGGCAACCTTAGCACCACACCCTTGCGGAAGGGGCGGTGGACTCACGGTCACCTAGCCGACCGAAACGCTAGGCAGCTGGTAGCAAACGGAAAACCCGTAGCGTTAATAAGATAGTGTAGTCTATCTTACACAAAAATTTCGTAACTTAGAAGCGCTGCTACGTTTTGTGCCGCTAGATTCTACAACACTTCCAACGTTTGCATCGCTCACTCTGGTTAACTTTCCAAGTGTTGACAGGTTCATTTCCTTACTTAGAAAGTTATCGTCTCTTTCTTCCCTACAGCTTCACCGCTCACTATGCAGTCAAACATCGAAAACTATGCCATAGTGTCTTCACTAATAGATTTCGCGTAGTGCCAACTACTTCACAGTAACTTATAGTCGCTATTATAGACTCTAAATAGACTAAGACACATCTGAATGCTAATACGCTTCAGCAATCTAGTGCTCCCTATCATTGGAACAGCAGAGCATGCTCATCTCAATCCAAGCCCCGATGTATCAACCGAAGGTGGAAGACCCATCAGTAGCTCGCTCATAACCTTCCCACTGCCAAGCGATAGTGTTACACCATCATCAAAATGGGCCGTGTTCAGGAACAAACCCCCCGGACCGTACCGACCATCCTGATCATCTCTGCCTTGCTTCGAAGGAAGCGGCCTATCCCAGGACTCGTCTTCCATACCAAGCAACTCCCAGTCCACCTTCATGACTATCGGATGCCCGATCGTCGAAAGCGGCCTATAGCACCTCCCCACCGCAAAAACATCCAACTCCCCACCCTCCGGCACCCTCAAATACCCCTTCGCAACCTCTTTCATCCTCTCAATCTCACCCGACTGCGCATGCACATCCTCCGCAAGCTCAGGAAGTTCTTCCGGTGCCGCTCCCCATCCACCGACATACAACTCACCCCCCGAAAAACTAGTGATGTCGAGACCCTGTCTACCCGGAACATCGCTCTGGAAGAAGACTTGCTCACTTCCCTTCACGTCGTCCTCTGGTTTCCAGTTGGGTGTGCGGACGCGGAAATGGTTTCCGGCTGAGGCTGTGGAGTTCATTGGGAGTTGGAGAGAGGCGTGAGGGAAGAGTAGTGAGAAGACGTGTGGGGACCAGGGGCCTGCTGCTATGACCAGGCTTTTGCAGGGGATGTTGAGAGGGTCGTGATATTGTTGCTTGATCTGGATGCTTGTGAAATGTCTCGCTCGTGGTGCCGCCTGGACTGATGTTGCGTTGGCGTTGAAGATGAACTCAACGCCCAAATTCTTGCATTCCTTGAAGAGGAACTGGCAGAATTGAGCTGGATCACTTATCGGTCAGGCTAGAAGTCATTGTGATCAAAAGGCCAACGTACAGATGCGATGCATGAGAGGGTCCAGTCATGCGCTGCACTGACCAATGGCTCTTGGGTCTAATCCAGTCAGGGAGCGCAGACAGAGGCTGATCCATGGGAGGACTTGGACCCCAACTATCAGTTGGCTTAGGTGTACCCGTGAAGTTGTCTGGTATGACGCGATAGATCGTAGACTCGCCAAAGCCAAACTCCTCCATCCCATTCGCGAGAGCAAGTTCCTGGAACAGCCTGTAGGACAGAACACCCAGATCAGCGACACCGCTCGCGAAGCCGAAATCTCCAAGCCCACCTGTCGCTTGACCAGAGGCAGCAGGACTAATATGCGCAGCTCGCTCGACGACGATGATTTTGCCAGGTGGCCTGGATGTCGCATTGACGGTCTTTCGGTGAGCGAGTGCGAGCTGATAGGCCGTCGCGAGGCCAATGACACCTGCACCCAGAATGACAGTATCATCGCCCGTCGATACATCTCTTTGAGGAGCTAGAGGTTGCTGAACGTTGGACCAGGTTGTGTCCATAGTTGAAGAGGCCAGGGTGCGGGGCCGCCACAATGCAAGGAGAAGGAAGCAGCTTGTGAGGTGCATGATGGTGTGCCTTACTTCACCGAGTCGAGGTCAGGGTATCGCATTGAAGGTTCCGAAACCTTGCGATTGTCGATGCTGATTATATTTTCTTTGTTGCGGGGAAGTCTGCAATGGCGGTTGACGTACGCTCTTAAGTCTGAGCTCAAGTGTCACGTTCACCGTTTTGCGTGGGCTTAGCGATCAGGACAGCGTTTGTGCAATCTGCAAGACACCAATCTCCATTGCTATTGGTAGCATTTACGTGTGCCTACTCTTCGTCATTCATATGCCATCTTGTCATACAAAGGCTATCTCAACTTCGTCGACTCGGCTCCATGACCCTTCTCATCTTCATCAAGGATGCACTCAGCATGCACGAGCTATCTCGCCCACGCTCAAACCCATCTACTTCCACTCCCAACACTCCTCCACCATCCACTCAAAGTCCTGGAACTTGACAACCGCACCCACGCTCAAGATCTCAGGCCTAAAGGTAACGCCACAAGGCAAGAAACCATCACCCACCCTCACAGTCCTGTTCCACTTCTCCACCTCTGACTTTGCGCCATTCCCACCAACCTTCTCCTTCGCAGTCTTTCCCTCAGCATCTTCCACCTCCCACCGCTCAACGGTAACCTTATCACCCCACATGAGAATACCCTGGCAGTACTGTCCCAACCTCACGACCACGCCCCTAACCCCCGCGTGATCAGCCTGGCACCGCATTACCACACATACCATACTGCCCTTCTCATTCGTAGATACGGCGTCGACGTCCCTCCACATCTCCTCGTGAGTCTTGACAGCTCCAAGCGCCGGATGATATCCGTGTCCGTGCTCCAGCGTCAATCCGGGAGCGATGGGATACATGTCGCCCTCATCAACAGGGATTTTCTTGTGGCCGACAGGGAAGCGCGAGTCGAGCCAGTGAGTCCAAGTAGAGTGTGTGACGTTGACCCAAGTTTCTTCCTTGAGCTTCTTGGCAGATTTCCCGTGCTGTGGGCCGGTGGGAGGAGGTGTGATGGGTACGCTGGTGGAAGTGCCGGTGAAGGCCCAGTCTAGGTGTGCGGAGTTGCCTGCGTTGGTGCTCTCCTTGATGGGCGCAGGACCAGCGCTGTTGGGATTGATCGCGTCCTTGGAGAACGACTTGTAGATACGAATGTCGACAAAGGTATGGTTAGGGCTTGTCAGTACCAAAGTAGATGTAGGCTCGAACTGGTGAGACGGTAGGTTCAGCGGGTTCTTCTGCGGGAGGTGGATGGAGTAAGGGATCTCGGTGTTTGGCGGCAGAGGGTAAGGGAGGAAGTAGATGTACTCGCGCTTGCTAATGTTGGCGGCACTGGGGTCTTGGAGGACGGGCTTGGGACCGTGAGTTGTAGTGATGGTGAAGGAACCACCGCCATCGTCTGGCTGTGCGGGAGCTTGGAGAGAAGGTGAGACGCCCTTGTTGATTGCTGAGGATGCCATGGCGTCGGTTTCGGTGCCGGAGTCTGGGGGCGTGTAGATGATGGGGCTGGTGTTGGTGCTTGATTGATCGCTGAGATCACGCGGTTCTTCGTTTGCCTGTGCCGCGGCGGGGTGATTTTTGGCCTTGATCACCATTTTGGATTTGAGTCTGGTTTCTTTTCGAGGGGGCAAGATCAGAGAGACTAACAGTTACCGTGATGTTGAGATAGTTAGGCGTGAAAGCGAAAGAGACGTTGAGATCTAGAAAATGAGTCAGCATTTCAGGGCTTTGCATCAATATCTCTCAGATTTCAACGATCTGAGGAGGATACATCGGCTGTTCACGGTGTACGTGGATGCCAGTACAACACTAAGATGTGTACGATGTGGGAGTTGAGCGCGCAGGAATTACCCTTGCAGGAGCGTGCCTCTTACCTGCTTACTGGGAACTGTTGAGGGGACTTACCAAGTGAGTGCTTGAAGACTTCGTAGCTTGTATCTTGCACGTTTTGCGTGGTGTTGTGGTGTTGTGACAGATACGGCGTGAGGTGGGGGAGCTCATAGCAACAAGAACCGCGCTAGCGACGTCCGTTTGCGCAAGGTGATCATCAATACTAGAATTCGAGGTGAATGGAAATTTCATACTGCTCGGTCATATGACACATCACGAATAATCCTATCATACCCTACGGTAAAGAGTGGATATTGCCGGAAGAGACGGTAGAAGAAATGACGAAGAGATGAATGGGAGGCACGGCTTGCATTTGCAAAACTAGGTATCATTCACATGCTGTCATTTATTTGACAGACCTAACCATGACGCCGCCCATGCTGGGAAAGCCCACGCTGGGAATACCCATTGCCGAATCGTAATCCTGACTTTTGTATTGTCGTAAGCCATAGCAAAGAACCAAGCAGCTACTTCAGCGAATAGCTTATTTCTTCTTGGAGTCGGCCTCCTCGGCCTTAGCCTTCGCGCGCTTCTCACGGACACCGACGAGGCGGGCCTCGGAGCGGGCGTCACGAAGCTTGCGGTAGGCGTTCTCGGTAGCCTCGTAGTTGCCAATGGGGCCCTCCTCGAGTTGGACGACGTTCTTGATGGGCAGAGCAGCGGCGGTGGACTGGACGAGGTTGTCGGCGCTCTTGGCGGCCTTGACGTCCTCGGCGGAAGCGTCACCAGACTTGGTCTTGCCGTTGCGGCGAGGGAAGAGGATGAGGCGCTTGCGGTATTCCTGGAGGCGCTCGACGTTGGCCTTAAGGCCCTCCTCGGACAGGTTCTGGCGGCGAGGGTCGACAGAGATACCGATGGTGCGGGCGAACTTGCGGGGGATACCGGCGGCTGCTACATGTTAGGAGCGCTTTACGCGATTGGGTGAGCAACATACCCTTCAGCTCAGCAAGAGAGAAACCACGGCCGGGGCGGACACGGCGGTTGTACTTGATGGTAGGGCAGCGGACGACGGGCCTGAGCTTGTCGACGGGCCTGGGGGCTACCTTCGCAGCCTTGGCAACGCGAGCATTGCGTCTGGACTTCTTCTTGCCAGGCTATCGTACTGTCAGAAATCTGAACACAGGCGCCACTACTCTCAGCGACGTGAGAGGGGAATTACCTGGTCGAAGTGGCAGCGGACGTAGCGTTGCCTGGAGAATATTAGCCCAATGTCATCAACGTGCCTATTGTCCCAATCGCGAACTCACCAGTCCTTGTGGAAATGGTTCTTCTGAATCTGCTGGTTGTGCTTGATCGCCATTGTGTCGGATTGTCTGCCCTAATCAGCCTTCGCCCTTCGCTCGTAGAGTTGTGTGGAAGCGCGCAGTGTCGACGGCGATTTCGATTGATTGCGCTCGTTCGATTGCGCACTCCGAAGATGGTAGACGTACCTCGATGGCTGACCTGTGGGTTAGTTATCGTACGGCTGTCGAGGAAGAAATCTGGAAGTTCGCTCGCCAATTTCGACAGCCTTCCTAGCGCTAGTGGGCCAACCGAGTTTTCGGCGACACGTTTGGCCGACGCCGACACTAGCGTGATGGGCCGGCTTGCGCTGCAACACCTGGGCACCAACGACGACTCGCTACTGGAACTAAGTTTTCTGTCGCGAAAGTCACTGTGGTATACTCGTCGGTTTAGTCTGGTTTCTTTGAGCATTGTCCTCATTCGTGTCGTTGTACGAGATACTTCACCCCTGCAACGATGATGTGAAACTTGATCACGCTCTGATGCTGTTCACCGGGAACGGTTGGTTTCTGAAAGTATCGCTACATCCATTCGAAACAAACTGTAAACAATAATCTAAACATCCCTATAGTACTCCCCTGTAGTGAGCACACAATGTACAAGAAGACATTACAAAACGCTAAAATGTATCCAAAAAGAAGTGAAACCGCACAAGTGCCTTCTAGACCAACCCCGGCACCACAAGAACCTTCAAACTACCACCCTGACAAGAAGTATCAAGAATCAAAAACCACCATCATCCGCATCGAAGAACTCGGTGTTGGAGCTCTGTGCACTCGTCCAACTCTCCCTGGGAATCTTGTCTCTGAGCCAGGTAAGAACAGCGTCAGTGCCCTTCTGCAGCACCTGTCGATTGGGTACCCTGAACTTGTTGCCTTCCACTTCGAAGCCTGTCAGGGTGCCTTGCAGCAATCCGATTCGCGGTTCCAGACGCTCGATGTCGTTGTTGCCCAGGTTCACAATCCTAAGGTTGTGCAAGCTTTCGGGCGAGACCTCGGAGATCCTGTTGTCGGATGCGAGGAGGGTGGTGAGCGCAGGGAAGGCGACGTGAAGCGTCGGAAGAGCACCGGCGAGACGGTTGATCGATACGTCCAGCGTTACGAGGAGAGGCGCCGTGAGGTATGTTGTCAGATGCGTGAGAGAGTTGATCTTGTTACTGGCGAGACGGAGATCGCGCAGTTGGGGAAGTTCGATGGGTGCTGACAGAGGAACTTCGATGCTGTTCCTAGACAGATCGAGTAATGTCAAGTGTTCGAACTGCGCCGCTATAGAGGGAATGATCTCGAACTTGTTGCGCTGCAGATGCAATTGACGCAGGCCGTTGACCATGACATCCATGGTGACTTCATCCATCTCTAGTTTAGACATACTCTTGTCCGCGAGGTCCAACGTTCCTGACGGTGTGAGTTGCCACTTCGGCTGAGCCTCTTCTGTGACACCATTCTCGAGTTCGTCATCCACGTCGGCCGACACCTCAGCTGGCAGTCGCGATGCCAGATCGCGCTTGATATCATCGGTGCCCATAGTGAGGAATTTACGATCGCGTAACGGGTTCGCTGCGACTGTGAGATGTTCTAGATGTTCCATCAAAGCAATCTTCTCATCAAGCAGAGTGATATCGTTGCCCGTAAAGTCTGCAGTACGTAGTTGTTGAAGCGTCACGAAACCCTCTGGTAAGGTTGAGAGTTTGTTCTCGCCGACTAGCAGCGTCGTCATACTGATCCAGGTCGATACTTCAGGGAACGACGTAAGTCTGTTCGTGGAGACATTGAGT